ACAAAAATGACTAGATCAGCCCAATGGGGCACAATTACTGTTGCAGTATACAATGATAACCACTAGAGTGAACTGTTACTCCACTTAAACCATCCCAGTATTAGCGGAAGAAAAACATGGGCATTATACACTGAGTGTACAAAACATTCCATGGCATAGACTGACCAGGTGAAAGCTATGATCCCTTATTGATGTCACTTGTTAAATCCACTTAAATCAGTGTAGATGAAGGGGAGGAGACAGGTTAAAGAAGGATTTTTAAGCCTTGACAATTGAGACATGGATTGTGTATGTGTGCCATTTAGAGGTTGAATGGGCAAGACAAAAGATTTAAGTGCTTTTGAACAGGCTATTGTAGTAGGTGCCAGGTACACCGGTTTGAGTGTGTCAAGAACACACTGTTTCCAGTGTGTATCTAGAATGGTCCACCACCCAGAGGACATCCAGCCAACTTGACACAACTCTGGGAAGCATTGGAGTCAACATGGGCCAGCATCCCTGTGGAACGCTTTCGACACCTTGTAGAGTCCATGCCCCCAACGAATTTAGGCTGTTCTGAGGTGGGGTTGCAAGTCAATATTAGGAATGTGTTCCTAATGTTTTGTACACTCATTGTATACCACTAGTTAGGGGGGTACCTACTCCATTGAGCTACATTTGCATGTGTCAACAGGCTATTTTATTTTAGCACTATTACGAAAGGATGGGGGCGAAATAATGATGTCCCTATAATAGCATTAGCAGGGTATATCAAAGTGGTCAGTGTTTAATCAGTACACAAACCCCAGTATTGGCAATGGATGCTCTTATCTGGCTTTTGATGATGATTGAAATAAAAGACAGATGTGAGGGATGAATGGATCAGCACCTCTCCAGTGGAGTCATTCAGATTGTGGCTTTCATTGGACTACATTGACAAATGGTTTTCCTAAAAAAGAATCTGTCATCAGGTTGAAAATAGATCTAATTAATATTGAATAAACATAAGACCACATTTCTTGCTATTAATGATAATTAATTGTAATACCCATGTCTTACTTCCTTGCCAAGTTCATTACAAGCGTTAATCTCCACAATATTATTGGCCTATTCCTTGATAAAGGGGTTAGTGGCAATATAATTTTGGATCTGTCATAACAGTGTCATAAATCCATGTGGTTGATCATTTGGAATCATGACAAGTTCATCCTACAATGTAATGGCGTTAGGAGTTAGTTTGATTGGTGTTGTTGCTCTTTTGGAGTGTTTTGAATTAAGCATTTATGTAATTGTACAAAACAGTAGGGCTAAGTAACAGAATTAATAGCATGGAATTAAGTAAGTATAATAAGTACATGTGTCACACTCTGGCTCCGGGACTGTGTGTTAGAGCCAGGGTTATTTCATTTGGTGGTGTTGGGATGGTGTGTTTCATTTGTTTTGTGGTTAGTGGTTGTTGGTCATGACTCCCAATCGTAGTACAGAGTGTACACTGTCGGCTCTGTATCTTGATTGGACCATATTTATACTGTGTGGGTTTCACCTGTGGTTGTGGGTTTTTGTTCCATTGTTCTATGTTACGTTCCGTCTTTTGTAGTCACTTAGGACGGTACGATCGTGTTTTGTTTCGTTTTCGTGTGTGCGCTTTACTTTAATGAGTATGTACGCTATCACCTGCGCCTTGGTCCGCTCTTTTGAAGACGATCGTGACAGAAAACCCACCTCAAGGACCAAGCGGGCGTGCAAGCGGCAACAGTATCCACCTGTCAAGGATTCATGGACATGGGAGGAGATATTGGATGGAAAGGGTCCTTGGGCACAACCGGGAGAATATCGCCGCCCTCGTGAAGAGCTGGAGGCAGCCAAAGCCGAGAGGAGGTGGTATGAGGAGGCAGCACGGAGGCGAGGCTGGAAGCCCGTGGACGAGAGGCAACCCCAAGAAATTTTTTGGGGGGGGCACATGACTTGGGCAGCTGGGCAGCAGGAGGCTGCCACAGGTAGACGTGGAGAGAAGGCTATCGGAGTACGGGAGCCATTGGCGAGTAGAGGGAGGGAAGTTGTTGTGGCACGGCGTGAGAGACTGAAGTGTGTTACCAGTCCGGTCCGGCCCGTTCCTGAGCCCCGGTTAAGGCCAGTGGTGTGTGTTCCCAGTACGGACCGGCCTGTGTCTACTCCACGCGTCAAGCCCACGGTGTGCGTCGCCAGCCCAGCCCGGCCTGTTCCTGCGCCACGTACGAAGCCTACGGTGTGCGTCGCCAGCCCAGCCCGGCCTGTCCCTGCGCCACGTAGGAAGCCTACGGTGTGCGTCGCCAGCCCAGCCCGGCCTGTTCCTGCGCCACGTACGAAGCCTACGGTGTGCGTCGCCAGCCCAGCCCGGCCTGTCCCTGCGCCACGTAGGAAGCCTACGGTGTGCGTCGCCAGCCCAGCCCGGCCTGTTCCTGCGCCACGTACGAAGCCTACGGTGTGCGTCGCCAGCCCAGCCCGGCCTGTCCCTGCGCCACGTAGGAAGCCTACGGTGTGCGTCGCCAGCCCAGCCCGGCCTGTTCCTGCGCCACGTACGAAGCCTACGGTGTGCGTCGCCAGCCCAGCCCGGCCTGTCCCTGCGTCACGTAGGAAACCTACGGTGTGCGTCGCCAGCCCAGCCCGGCCTGTCCCTGCGTCACGTAGGAAACCTACGGTGTGCGTCGCCAGCCCGGCCCGGCCTGTTCCTGCCACTCGCACCAAACCAGAGGTGCGAGTCGCCAGCCTGGTCCAGCCCGTTCCGGCTATTCGCACCAAGCCTCCTGTGTGTCCCCAGAGTCCTGTGCGTCCTGTTGCTGCTCCCCGCACTAGCCCTGAGATGCGTGTCCTCAGCCCGGGACCACCAGTTCCGGCACCACGCACTAGGCCTTGTGTGCGTCCCCAGGATCCGTCAGCCAGCCATGAGCAGCCAGATCCGTCAGCCAGCCATGAGCAGCCAGATCCGTCAGCCAGCCATGAGCAGCCAGATCCGTCAGCCAGCCATGAGCAGCCAGATCCGTCAGCCAGCCATGAGCAGCCAGATCCGTTAGCCAGCCATGAGCAGCCAGATCCGTCAGCCAGCCATGAGCAGCCAGATCCGTCAGCCAGCCATGAGCAGCCAGATCCGTCAGCCAGCCATGAGCAGCCAGATCCGTCAGCCAGCCATGAGCAGCCAGATCCGTCAGCCAGCCATGGGCAGCCAGATCCGTCAGCCAGCCATGAGCCGTCCAGCCAGGATCCGCCAGAGCCGTCCAGCCGGGATCCGCCAGAGCCGTCCAGCCGGGATCCGCCAGAGCCGTCCAGCCGGGATCCGCCAGAGCCGTCCAGCCGGGATCCGCCAGAGCCGTCCAGCCGGGATCCGCCAGAGCCGTCCAGCCGGGATCCGCCAGAGCCGTCCAGCCGGGATCCGCCAGCCAGCCAGGATCCACCAGAGCCAGCCAGCCAGGATCCGCCATTTAGTCCGGTGCTGCCCCTTAGCTCGGTGTTGCTCCTTATCCTGGTGCTGTCCCTTATCCTGGTGCTGCCCCTTAGTCCGGTGCTGTCCCTTAGCTCGGTGCTGCTCCTTATCCTGGTGCTGTCCCTTAGTCCGGTGCTGCCCCTTAGTCCGGTGCTGCCTCTTAGTCCGGTGCTGCCCCTTAATCCAGGTGGGTTAGGTTGTAGGGTGGTCAAATGGAGGAGGCTACTAAAGCGGGTAGTGACTATGGTGGGGTGGGGACCACGACCAGTGCCAGAGCCGCCTCCGAGGAGCAACACCCACCCAGCCCTCCCCATTTTTTGGGTTAGGCGCGGTCGGAGTCCGCGCCTTTGGGGGGGGGTACTGTCACACTCTGGCTCCGGGACTGTGTGTTAGAGCCAGGGTGTATTTCATTTGGTGGTGTTGGGGATGGGTGTGTTTCATTTGTTTGTGTTTAGTGGTGATTGGTCAATGACTCCCAATCGGAGGTAACGAGTGTCAGCTGTCGGCTCGTTATCTCTGATTGGGAGCCATATTTATACTGTGTGTTTTCACCTTGTGGTTGTGGGTTTTTGTTCCATTGTTCTATGTTACGTGTTCCTGTTCAGTTGTAGTCACTTAGGACGTTACGATCGTGTTTTGTTTCGTTTTCGTGTGTGCGCTTTACTTAATAAAGTATGTACGCTTATCACGCTGCGCCTTGGTCCGCTCATTTTGAAGACGATCGTGACAACATGTCTCACTTTGATAGTAAGCAAATTATTTCATATTTCTAACTATAAGTACAGTAGCTAGGCTACATTTCGGTCGGTGGATGATTTAAAGCATGTGTCAAACTCATTCCACGGAGGGCCGAGTGTCTGCAGGTTTTCGCTTCAACCTTGTACTTGATTGATTAATTAAGGTCACTAATTAGTAAGGAACTCCCCTCACCTGGTTTTCTAGGTCTTAATTGAAAGGAAAAAACAAAAACCCGCAGACACTCGGCCCTCCGTGGAATGAGTTTGACACCCTTGATTAAAGAATCAAACCTGAACAATGAATCATGTCTTGGCATAGCTGGTCGTTAGAATTAAATGCCACCTGGCTACAGATTTTTATACTGGATACATTTTTTTTGATGGACATGTTGTGCACACTGATCTGTGAAACAAGAACATTAGTACTTCCTGTAAATTTCTGAAGAGGTTTTCTTAACTTAGAAATCTATTTCAGCACAAGTACCAAGAAAGCAGTCATATCATATGAGAGAGATGATCTAAAGGTAAAATGTTGCATTTGTCACGCTTAAGTTTTGTGCTAACCAAGCTGAACATGTTTCTTAATGTACCTATCCTATACCCGCTCTGTCACGGGACCAGTCCAAAAGCAAAAGAAAACGCATACATACACACAGTCATATTAAATATATACATCAATCTCATTTACTCTCTTACATGATTTACATGGGATCATTTTACAACAATATTACTTTAGACTTTTTGGCATTTTAAGTATCTTCACATATTAAAAACATACAAAAATAAAATTCTATTTTTTCCTCAATAATAGTCTGATTTGTTCTGTACTAGGCAGCAGTCTGTGATTTCCTGTTCCGTTTCGCTCGACGGGTGGGTGGAAAACTGATAAACTCAAACTGTTTGATTCTGTCCATGTTGGGGAAAGGTAGTGGGCCCTTGTGTAGCCTCTTGATGAAATGGACCTCTCTCTGGTTCTCCCTCGTCTTGGAGGCTTTGATGGGCCTCCCTTTCCTGGTGAAAGCCACATACCAGCCCTCATACTTGGCATTCTGGAAGGCAGTGTAATTGTTCTCCAGAACAATCTCTGTGAAGATACAATCCCTGCTTCTGCCATTAGGCTATTGAGAGGATGAGAGAGAGGAAAGACTAAGTCAAATCCAAGTTTATTGGTCACATACACAGTTTAGCACCACTACTAGAAGGCATGTTAAAAACAACATCTGATTAGCCTACTTACAGTATTTCCCTCTGAACTACACTGCTATCTATTAATTTCCAAGCTCCAAACAAAATGGAATACTTCAATATTCTCATGAAACACAGAACAGACTATTTAACAATTACAAACAAATGCAAACAATGTGTACAAGACAAGTGAAATAGTATCCTACACGACAAGGTCAAACCCATTGTATCTACAGTTTGAGACAGTTTCGTTAAAACTACAATGAAGATACCACATACTGTATCAGTACAGCCAATAAACTAAGCGTAAACTAGGAATAGTGAAGAATGTGTTTAAAGTAGGAAATATTAGCTGCATATCCAAACCACACCACAATAACTATATTGGACGAGTTGTGAGAAGTATTAGCAAACTATTCCTCTCTAACATAAGGTTTTCAAAAGAGAGGAACCGCTAGAAAGCTACACCATTTATCTGCATTTATTTATTCACTAGATTAAACCAGAACCTAATATTTTAAGATGATGATGAGAGATGAAGAAGATGATGCGAGATGGCAAGCAGACAACACTGACATCTTTTCCATTTCCATTCAGGAAGTGGAGGGATGACTTCTGACCAACCACCAAAGGGTGTGAGGAGAGTTTTTCCCATACCTTGAAACTGTAATTCTACACTTGGAAATACAAATTGGGTTGTCTCCCTGTCATCGACCCTATCCAGGCTAATGAATTACATTACAAATAAATATCATTATAACACAATATGAGTCACGTGTGTCTCATATTCTTCTTACTTTTTAACTTTGCATTGTTGGGAAAGGGCTCGTAAGTAAGCATTTCACGGTAGTCTACTACACCTGTTGTATTTGGCGCATGTGAAAAATACAATTTTAGTAAGTATACATCAGTTTTATTGCATTGTCACTATTTAGCGAACCAAACTCTTAAAATTATTTTATATTTGTTTAAAGAACCCTTCATTTAAAGAATGTACAATAACAATTATACTGAACACAAATATAAACGCAACATGTAAAGTGTTGGTCCCATGTTTAATGAGCTGAAATAAAAGATCCCAGAAATATTCCATATGCACAAAAATATTATTTCTCTCAAATTGTGTGCACAAATTTGTTTACATCCCTGTTAGTGAGCATTTCTCCTTTGCCAAGATAATCCATACACCTGACAGGTGTGGCATATCAAGAAGCGGATTAAATAGCATGATCATTACACAGGTGCACCTTGTGCTGGGAATAATAAAAGGCCACTCTAAAATGTGCAGTTCTGTCACACAACATAATGCCACAGATGTCTCAAGTTTTGAGGGAGCGTGCAATTGGCATGCTGACTGCTGGATTGTCCACCAGAGCTGTTGGCAGAGAATGTAATGTTCATTTCTCTACCATAAGCTGCCTGCCCAGGACCTCCACATCTTGCTTCTTCACCTGTGGGATCGTCTGAGACCAGCCACCCAGACAGCTGATGAAACTGAGGAGTATTTCTGTCTGTAATAAAGCCCTTTTGTGGGGAAAAACTCATTCTGATTGGCTGGGCCTGGCTCCCCAGTGGGTGGGCCTGGCTCCCAAGTGGGTGGGCCTATACCCTCCCAAACCCACCCATGGCTGCGCCCCTGACAAATTGTGAAGTCCATAGATTAGGGCCTAATGAGTTTATTTCAATTGACTGATTTCCTAATATGAACTGTAACTCAGTAAATTCGTTAAAATTGTTGCATGTTGCGTTTTATATTTTTGTTCAGTATACATAATTACCAACTAGGAAACAAGCAAGCTGGAATTCTTGCAACGTTGAAAGTGATGTGGATTTGATATCATACCTTTCCAACTAGTTTCCCCTTCCGGTTCATACAGAGGTAGCGTCCACTCTCTGCACCTTTGATCCGAACACGACTGCCAAAGGTGTCAGTCTCTACAAAGAGACGTGCTACAACATACACACAAATATCCATATGAAAATACAACAATGGTGTGATAAATCCACTAGGCCTATGTCAATTAGCTGAATAATAAATATATTTTGGACACTCCCTATATCATATTCAAATTCTTATATGGAAGTGGAATGATAATACAAAACTGTAAAAAGCCAACAATAAACTGTCTGCCATCTATTGGCCTACAAGAAAAGAATGTGCAAAAGGAGGACCTAAAACAAACTGACATTCACTGGAGAGAAAAAATCACAACAGCCTATGTGAGATATTATGGGTTTCAGGTTTTGAGACACATTAACAAACCATTGCTATAATTTAATTAAATGTTATCATTAATCATGTTTGAAGAAAAAGTAATGGAAGTGGAATAAAACAAATCCCAATTGCAGTTGTCCTATGGGTCAATTGATTTACCCCCTGGTTAATTAGGCTAACAACAGTCCCCTGTAGCTCAGTTGGTAGAGCATGGCGCTTGCAACGCCAGGGTTGTGGGTTCGTTTCCCACGGGGGGCCAGTATGAAAATGTATGTACTCACTAACTGTAAGTCGCTCTGGATAAGAGCGTCTGCTAAATGACAAAAAAATGTAAAAACAGTCATGTGTATTGGACCAGGACAAAAGACTTGGCCTGATTCGCCAGACGAGGGTTTAGCTACAGTAGGCAGGCCAAATTAATATACAGAGGGTCGGGCCAGCATCAGGTGGGCAAGTATCCTAGCCCTGCAGACCTCTTCATCGACAGACAGCACATTGCAAATGCAGTCCTCATTAATAAGCCTTGTATGCATTGGTCCGACTGGTTGAAAACAGATAATTTGTCCAAATGCAGCCAACATTGTGTCATGGGAACAACTTACCGTAATTGTTGCCGTCCTCAGCAGTAGCGGCGACCCTCTTGCCCTGTATCTGGACGTGCTTCCCGCTAGTCCGGCTGTATAGTTGGTAAACCCTGACCTGTCGCCGGCTAAGCTGGTCCGTCATTGCGCCCTGCTCCATCACATACTGGTTAAAATGAGGAGACGGGTGATTCTCCCCCTTTTTATGCAAAAAGGAAAAATAAAATCACATATAGAATTTTCTTCTAACCTCTTTTTTTTCTAAGATAAGTCAACCACTGCATGACTAGAGCCTCACTGAATAACTCAATCCAAACATTTAAACATCTGGGCTAGGCCTGTAAATTATTTGGTAAAAAGAAGCCCATCACATCAAAATATTGTGTTACATTAGGCATATTAAGTGCATTCAGAAGCAAGCGTCCCACTTTAAATGACCTTTATCACCAGCGTGGGAAACTAATTTAATTTGCAAAAAGTCTTTAATGTAAGGGCATTTCATCTTTCTTTCACCCAATGTTTCACCTAAATGACATGGTGATTTTTTGGGGTTGATTTCACCTTGAATTCACGTTAGTTGACAACTCAACCAAATGTAAATCAAAACTAGACGTTGAACTACTGACGTCTGTGCCCAGTGGGAGATGCCTATATATTAACAATTATTTGTCTGTACAATCTACGAGGAACTTTGGAAGAGAATTTACCTGAGCATGGCACCACAACACGAAGAAATGAAAAGATCTGCAAAATTAAATCACAATAAATAAAACATTATCACCAACAATACAATCTGTTTCGATAACAATGTTTCAAAGCGTAGTCTTCTTACATGTAAATACAGCGCTGATTTATTCCATACATTCTTTCATCCAATTGCAAATGTTTTTCTTCACAGATAATCCAAGAGTTCCCTGGTTTCCGCTTGACCTGTCCACTGCGTGCCCCTTGTTAGTTTATGAGTTTGATTCCATTCACACACCAACTTTCAGATGTGAAACACCTTCTTCATAAGTTCATATAAGAAACACATCATGGTACGCATATGAGGAAAATGATATACTCCAGTTACTGCAGGTGTGTTGAAGTGTGAAGGTCTTCCTGAGAGTATCCAAAAAGTCTGCAACCAAGAGAGTCACCGAGATCCATCATACATTTTAGAGTCAAACTTCCAAAGTCCACAGGAAAACCTATTAGCTATTGCCATTTGGATGTTTATTTCAAGGGAAGAAAATTGTCACCCATATGTACAGTATCGCAATGTAGCCACGATGTAGCCCCAAGTAATTCCACGTTTAAAAAGCCCTCTTACTCAGCGCGTCTTGGCCTCTTGCTAGGCAGTGGTTAAATGTTGAAAGGCAGGTCCAGGTCCCTCCCATGAGTTGGGAGTTGGAGGTTTTGTATTGTGGGTGGGCAGGGCACAGTGGACTGTAAATGGGGAAAAAATGCACTTTGGGTATGTTTTACGCATATTGTTAGCCTACGCATTAATGGCATATCAGCATTAACTTAATCTGTTTGTTTCATTTTATAAAAATACATCAGATAAAAAAGACTGATTGGGTTACAAGAAAAGTTTAAATTTAACTCTACATCTTGTTTTTCACCCCTCTCTCTTGGCGGATATAAAATGCGATTTATCAACTATGTTATAATGCATAATTAATCACTGTATTTAGAAGTGAGTAGCCTAATGTCACTTGAAGGGGTGTGGCAATGAGGTGTCAAATATTCCATCGCTTTTCCATTCTTTCTCTCTGAGCGGTTTACTGCTCACACGTTCAGCTAATGTTTAAAACAAATAATTGTAACAATAGGCTGTTTCATCATGATGCAGTGGTAGTCTGGTGAGATAAGCCTATGTGTAGTAGCCTAATCAACATCACTAATTGATGACTAACTGATGTTAACAGGATTCTTATTTTTCGCTGGTTAAACTGTCTAGGCCTTCACCAGTGTCAAAGTCGTCATCGAGGTTATGGAGATGTCTCTGAGAGACTTTGATAATTGCACAATTTATTGTTTCAGTACAATACATGAGTTGTAATTAATGTTATATAACATTATGTTAGAATTTCTTTATTTCTTTAGTTACACTGATATCCAATACAGCACATTAACTAAAAATAATCTTAAACCTAGCAGCACAGATTGCAAGAGACAAGTTTCACAATTGGATAACCTTGCACTGTTATAGTTTAACATACAATTTCTACCATTAAAGAGTACATTCAAACACAACATGGTGTAATCTGGGCTCTGTGCAAGAATTTAGCAAGTCCCAGTGTTTACATCGTCCACAGCTTCACATCACTGGCCCTCTGTTCAGCCAGAAGTTAAGCATCTCTGACAAGTTGTAGCTACAGCAGTTAAACATCTCTGACAACTCATTCTGCTGAATGTGTGACAGGCATTGGTAGCCACTGACATAATTTGTAGCAATTGATTCCACTTGTTAATGTCACTTCTTAAAAGCGGTCAATCAGTCTATCAATCAAGTTGTGTTGCCCAAGCTGTAGTCTCTGACATAATTCAACAACAAACAATGTTTTTTTGTTGTAAAAAAAACAAAACAAAAACAAGCAAGTTGCAGACAAGCAAAGTAACAGTCATGATTTGAGAGTAAGGAAACATGTTCAAAACACATTTGTATGTATACATATAGATGCATATACAGCAATACGAAAATAAACCACAATTTCTTATGCAGCAGTAATAAACACCACATCACCTGGAAAATCTATTTGCTTCTTCAAATAATGTTTGTCAGGCATCTGTTGATATTTGACCCTGTCTTCAGCATAGTCTGCTTGTACAATTCAAATATACAATTTTTAAAGAATCTAACAGGTGTGGCATATCAATAAACTGATTAAACAGCATGATCATTACACAGGTGCACCTTGTGGCGGGGACAATAAAAGGCCCCCACCAGTCCACCCCACCCATTTACCTTTCACGCATAAAATGCACATTTTCGGTTGCTCATCACAAGTAGTTTTGAAGACATTGCCATCCTTAATGAATCATACCTCTAGTCTTTTCTATTCCTATACTAGTATAGTGTGTGGAGTCATTTACTCTACAGTTGTTCCAATGGGGCAATAATGTGATGAATATGACTGTGGTTCAAAAGGGGTGTTACATACTGCTATACGTAGAAACATGGCAGCGTGGGATGTTTAGCTCTTGTGACTATACTCCAATTATAGGAGCTAACTAGCAGAAATGTTGGGGCGTGGCTGAAGGGAGAGAGAGCTTTTGCAGTAGCTAGCCTCATCACTGTGGAATTCATCTCCAACAGGCTGCCTTGCTCTGGTGTCAGCAATATTTTTTGGGAGTGGGATGTATAAAGACAAAAAGAGATGCCATTTTAGTCATTTAGCAGACGCTCTTATCCAGAGCGACTTACAGTCAGTGAGTGCATACATTTCCATACTGGCCCCCGTGGGAAATGAACCCACAACCCTGGCGTTGCAAGCGCCATGCTCTGGCGTTGCAAGCGCCATGCTCTACCAACTGAGCTACAGGGGACCCACACACACACCCCCACTTCAGTTTACAAAGTGACGGTGAGATCTGAGGCCTTGCAACCTGATCTTATTTATTAATGTCTCCACTGGCTTTACTGGCGCTAAAGCTGTGATGGAAATAACCAGACTTTCACTGAAAAGCAGGTAGCTTCAACCACCCACAGAAAAGGTACAGAATTCTTTGAACCTCAGGAGAGAGCGAGAGAGGGGGTGACTTTAAAAAAAAGTATTGGGTGGAACTGCAGAAACCCATGACAGGTGGACAGATAGATCTGACTCAAGTGTCATGCTTCAATGTGAAACTGATCATATGTGATTATAAATGTATAGACACGCCCACATTTAAACAGAGTCAACCTTAGAGCATAACTAGTCTCCCAAAATCGGACAAATCGGATGTGAAAAAGTTCTTCCTCATGCAATGGCAATGTTTTTTACCTACCTCAAATCAATTCATGTTTTGCCACCAGTTGACCAAAGGCTGCCTGCATAAAGTTATGGACAGCTTTAAACCCTCACTATACACTATCACTACATGTAATTAGTTATTATATTGAGTAACTTTGTCAACACATGACAATCTTGATCCAGTATAATTCAGAGCTACTGTACCTCCAGTAACAAGTGAAAGGACGATTGGTGGTCTCCCAACAGCTCCAACTACATCGTAAAGATCCCCGCCATAAAGAACAACTGGACACTCTTTTCTGCCCATGCAAAAATAGAGGCAAAGGTTTAGAAAGTGGGTGGTCCTCTTTATGAATTATAAAAACTCAGATTGTTTCAGAACATGAGCTTGGAGAATATCCCTGTTGCTTCCCCCTGTGGATTCTTCCACAGCAGTGGGGCACCTCCACTCATGCCACCCAAACCCCTGCTATAAGGTCACTCTGCAGTGCTCTGATGAGAGGGCTCCATAGACTTATAAGAGGGCTCTCGCCATTTCTCTGGTTGTCCAAAGCCTGTATGACAGAACATACATACTTGCCTCTTATAGAATGTTATGTTAGAGAGGACTTTTTCTAGAACTGTCAAACTCAGGATAAATGATGAGACATTTGTACAAATGTATCAACATTTTACTAACATACTTACCTGAAATCTAATTACATTAATCACACCTTTTCATTTATACATGTAGAGTGTGCTCAACATGTACAGATTTGTGGTTATTAGAAAGGCTTCTGACCCCTACGTATACCCCAACCATTTGCAAGCTGACCATTTGAGCTTGCCAAATTTGACACAGCTGACACAGGCAATAAATTTGAACTAGTTTCCCCGCCCCCTTTATCTGTAATGAGCCTTGGCCTACAACCCTTCGCACACACACACACGCACACGCACACGCACACGCACACACACACACAGAATTTGAATGGGTCCACACTTATTGCCAGCATAACAAAATATGATATATGCTGCTATATCAGATTAAGTGCATTTTCTAGTATTGGAAACACGGTACAGGCCTAGTCAAAACACCATATAATAAAAAAATATATATATCTAAAATGGGATGCTCAACAGGTGAAACCCGAGTCGTTGATCCACGATTAACACCCGCCAGTTGCAGACAGGGTTTGACTGCTTCATCTGACAAGACCAAGAAGCTGGTAACATGTCAGCCTTCAAAACTAATAGAGTGACTCAGACAAGAGCGATTCACAGAGAGGCAATGAAAATAGCCGGACGCTGTCCAA